CCACCAATTTATTCAGATTTTTGAAAAGCCATGCTGTACAAAAAGAACACATTCATGAGCCACCAGGTTTTTTCATTCTTTTTAAAAAGTCAAGTGCATTGGCAGCACTGTAGCTCGGTGGGTAGGGCGTCAGCCACATACGCCAAGGCTAGTGGGTTCAAACCCAGCTAGGGCCAGCTAAAATCAACAACTGCAACAGAAAAATAGCCAGGTGTTGTGGCAGGTGCCTGTAGTCCCAGCTGCTTGGGAGGCTGAGGCAAGAGAATCGCTTCAGCCCGAGAGTTTGAGGTTGCAGTGAGCTGTGACACCACAGCACTCTACCAAAGACGACATAGTGAGACTCTCTCTCAAAATAAAAAAAACAAAAACAAACAAACAAAACCCCCCCAAAGTCAGGTGCATTAAGGTATAATTTACACACAGTGAAATTCACCCTTCGTGAGCGTACTGTATGAAGCATTTTGACAGAAGTAGACAATCATGGGCCACCACCACAACCATGATAAGGAATGTTTCTCTCATCCCCAAAAGTTCTCTCCTACCCCTTGCATCATTCCCTCTCTGCCCCCTCATACTCAGCCCCCCGACATCCCCTGTCTGTTCTCTGACCCTGCAGTTTTGCCTTTCCCTGAAGGTCGTGGAAGTGGAATTGTACAGTGTGTAGCAAGCATTGTGTTTCTTCTTTCACTTAGTTTAATGCTCTTGAGAATCATTCATGTTGCATGGATCACTGATGCTGTCCTTTTTATTGCAGAATAGTATTCCAAAGCACAGTTTGCTTATTCATTGACCAATTGATGGACATTGTTATTTGCAGCTTTTGGCATAAAAATCTTTGTGTGGGCAGTTTTCATTCCCCTTGGGGAAAACGCTTAGGAGTGGGATTTCTGGGTCATCCATGAGTTGTGTGACCTTATAAGAGGTTGCCAAACTCTTTTCTGAAGCAGATGGACAATTCTGCATTCCTGTAAGCAACGTAGGAGAGTTCTAGTTGCCTTTCTGTGTCCTCACTGGTGCTTGGTATTGTCAGCTTTTTCTTTTTTAATTTTTTCATTTTAAATCTCAGCCATTCTGATAGTTTAGAGGTATTTAATTGCAGCTTTAGTTTGCATTTCTCTAAATACTAATACTAATGTTGTTGCTTATTTTTTCATGTTCTTACATCTATGTTTATACTTTGAAGTGTCTGTTAAAATCTTTTCCTCATTTAAAATACTGGATCATTTTCTTATTGAATTTTGAACTTTCTTTGTATAGTCTGTATATGAGTCTTTTGTCAGGCGTTTTGCAAGTATTTTCTCCTTGTTGATGACTTGTCTTTTCATTTTATTAACAGTATTTTTCTTTTCTTTTTTTTTTTTTTTTTTGAGACAGAGCCTCAAGCTGTCCCCCTGGGTAGAGTGCCATGGCATTACAGCTCACAGCAACCTCCAACTCCTGGGCTCAAGCGAGTCTCCTGCCTCAGCCTCCCAAGTAGCTGGGACCACAGGTGCCCGCCACAGCGCCCGGCTATTTTTTTTTTTTTTTGGTTGCAGCCATCGTTGTTTTGGCGGGTCCGGGCTGGGGATTCGAACCCGCCACCTTAGGTGTACATGGCTGGCGCCTTAGCCGGTTGAGCTATAGGCACCGAGCCAACAGTATTTTTCAAAGACCAGAAGTTTTAAATTTTGGTAAACTCTATTTTATCAACTTTCTAATTTAAGATTTTGTGTGTGTGTGTGTCCTAGCTTAGAAATCTTTGCCTAACCCAATGCCATAGGCATCAATGATTTCTTCTAGAAGTTTTATATTTTTATTTTTACTTTTAGGTCTGTGATCCATTTCATGTTAATTTTTGTTATGGTGAAGTGTAAGAGTCAAGGTTCATTTTTTTTTAATATATATATGGAACGTTAAAGCTCTTATACGAAATGCTTAATTGTTCCAGCACCATTTATTGAAAAGACTATCCCTGTTCCATTGATTTACCTTGGCACCGTTTGTGTGTGGGTTTATTTCTGGACTGTAGTCTGTTCCATTGATCTCTACTTTTTTCACTTTTCTCCTTCTGCTAATATAACTCTTGATTTTCCTATCACAGGGATTCTTAACTCCAGGAATATTGACTCCACCATTTTGAACTCCATCATTCTTTGTTGTGGGGCCTGTCCAGGAGGTGAGCAGTGATTCTGCTTCTGCCTAGTAGATGCCAGTAATTCCCACTTCCACAGTTATGACAACCAAAAATGTCTCCAGACATGGCCAAATGGTCCTCTGGGGGTAAAATTGCCCCTTCTTTTTTAGGATCTTTTTGGCTATCCTAGGCCTTAATGCTTTTCCATATACATTTTAGTATTTTATTATCAGTCTCTTTTTAAAAAGCCCACTGGATTCTTGATTGGGATTTCATTGAATCCAGATCAACTGGGGAGGATCACTATGGATTTTTGATCTGTGAACCTGATGTCTCTCTCCATCTTTTCTTTTCTTTCATCAGTGTTTTACAGATTTTAGCGTAACACAGATTTGTTCACATGTATTTCATGTTTTTCAATGCTTTGGTAAGTTGTATTGTAAGAATTTCTTTGCTAGTATATAGAGAGATGGTTTTAAAAATATTAACTGTGGTTGTGTGCAGTAGATCATGCCTATAATCCAAGCATGTTGGGAGGCCAAAGTGGGAAGATTGCTTAAAGCCAGGAGTACAAGAAGGTGACAAGATCTCATCTTTACTGAAACCAAAAACAAACAAACAAACAAAAACGGGAAAAAACTTAGCTAGGATTGGTGGTATGCTCCTGTAGTCCTGGGTGCTTAGGAGCCTGAGGCAGGAGGATCTCTTGAGCCCAGGAGTTTAAGGTTATAGTGAGTTATGATTTACTCTATTACACCCAAGCCTGGGTGACAGAGCAAGACCCTGTCTTTAAAAAAATATATAACTAAATAAATACATAAATAAAATATTAACCTTATAGCCTGTAGCCCTTCTAACCTCACTTTAGTTCTAGTACCTTTTTGTAGAATCTTTGGGATTTTTCTAAATAAAAAAAATCATGTTATCTGTGAATAAAGACAGTTTTATTTCTTTCAAATCTGCATGCTTTTAATTTCTTTTTCTTGCTTTATTGCACTGGCTAGAACTTCCAGTACATTGTTGAATAGAAATGGGGAGTGGACATCCTTTTCTTAATCCTAGCCTTGGGGGAAAACATCAATGTTTCACTGTTAAGAACATTAGCTACGGTTTTTGCGAATTTTTGTCATGAATGGATATTGCATTTTGGCAAGTGCTTCCTTTCTATCTATTGAGCTGATCACAAGGTTTTTTTTTCTTTAGTCTGTAAAAGGACAACCTAAGTTGATTTTAGAATGTTAAACCAACCTGTAATCCTGGGATGAACTCCAATTTAGTCATGATACGTACTCCAGCTGGGTCTGATTTTCTAATATTTCTGCTAGGAAATTTTACAGTCTTATGTTCACGAAGGATGTTGGTCTGTAGTCTTGTTTTCCTGAAATTCATTGTCTGGTTTTGGTGTAAGGGTAATACTGACCTATAACATAATAGGAAAGTATTCCTTCTACTGTCTTATGGAAATATTGGTGTGGAATTATTATTTTTTTTCCTTAAGGCCTGTGGTCTTGCAGATGGTATCAAAGCTTACCCAAAGGTTTCTTTAGTAAAACAAGAAGTATCAAGTACTTCAAGTTCATTTCCTTATTCACAGAGATACCAGTGGACACTACAGAGGTTTGGTTTAAGATGTAGGGAAGCTGGGTGTGTTGGCTCATACCTTTAATCCTAGTACTCTGGGAGGCCAAGGCGGGTAGATTGCTTGAACTCATGAGTTCAAGACCAGCCTGAGCAAAACTGAGACCCTGTCTCTACTAAAACTAGAAGAACTGAGACAAGAGGATCGTTCGAACCTGAGTTTGAGGTTGCTGTGAACTATGATGCCATGGCACTCTACCCAGGGCGATAGCTTGAGACTCCATCTTTAAAAAAAATATATAAAAGGTGTAGGAAAACAGCTTAGGAGAGGGGAAATTGCGCTGCATGCATTCAGGAGACTGAGGTCACCCCTGGCTGCTGTTTATCAAGGCACTTCACTTTCGGGGGCCTCAGTGTTCCCAGCTGTGAATAAGATCCTCAGAATCCTCCTTTCTTCCTACATCTCCCACTGTGTGTTTGTGAGCTGTAAGGAGATGTTTGGGTGAAGGTCACATCAACTGCATTTCCTGCCTCTTCCTACCTGAGCGGCCAAGCCCAGTCAAACATTCTTATTCTATACAGGGAAGAGTTTTCCCATATTTTGTTGTTATGGTTCCAACATGAAGTCTATATAAATATTGGCCTATCGTCAATCTTTAGCAGCTTTATGTTATTTTATTTTTATTAAATCATAGCAGTGTACATTAATACTATCATGGGGTACAATGTACTGTTTCTGTATACAATCTGAAATACATTCATCCAACTGGTTAACATAGCCTTCATGTCTTTTTCTTAGTTATTGTGTTAAGACATTTATATTCTACATTTAGAGAGATTCACATGTACCCTTATAGGATGAACCATAGGTGTGATCCCACCAATCACCCGCCAACCCACGCTCCCCTCTCCCTTCCCCTCCCTCTCTCCTCCCCTCCCTCTCTCCTCCCCTCCCTCTCCCCTCCCCCCATCTTCCTGGGCTAAAATTGGGCTTTATTAGCTTTTAAAAAGTTTTAAAAGTGACATATTAAGTTCAAGCAGTACTCAAGTGTATGCAGTAAAATACAAAGGGCCCTATTAAGCCTTCCAGTTCCCTTGAGTTAAGGTGTCAAGTAAGAGAGATGAGTTCTTTCAGACTTTTTCTTATACAAATATTTATATCTATAGACATATCCTCTCTTAATTTGTTTTAAGATATAAAGGGTGCAGTATTTAGCATCTTGCTTCTTTTCTCTTACCACTGAATCATGGCCCTCTTTTTCTGCTGACCAAATTTTGTCATGAGAGAATTTGAACTTCTCCAGGAAACATGGAGTACAGCTCTAAAACCACAGGTCAGATTTCATCCTAAAGTTAAGGCTGGCCTGGTGGTTCACACCTGTAATCCTAGCACTCTGGAGGCTGAGGTGGGTAGATCACTTGAGCTCAGGAGTTTGAGACCAGCCTAAGCAAGAGCAAGACCCTGTCTCTACTAAAAATAGAAAAAACTAGCTGGGCAGAGTGGCGCAGGCCTGTAGTCCCAGCTACTTGGGAGACTGAGGCAGGAAGATCGCTGGAGCCCAAGAGTTTGAGGTTGCTGTGAGCTATGATGATGCCATGGCACTCTCCCCAGGGCCACAGAGTGAGACTCTGTCTTAAAAAAACAGAACAAAACAACAAAATCTCGAAGTTAAAATATCTTTATTCCTTCCATTTTCCCTGTTCCTTGGCTGCTTTCCCTAAAAGGTACGTCCATAGATGTTTAAGGGAAATCATAGATTCCTTTAAACACCCCACAGAATGGGGATAAACCTCACGTTTTAACCAATAACATAGATGTAAATAAGGCCGAGTGGCTGCCTTGAGCATAACACAAGGTCATTGCTGCACCTGCTTCCTGCTCATTCAGCTGAGGCTTTGGCTAGTGTGTCCTAACCACAGAAGGGGAATATGATTTAGATTTATGTATGTTAAATCTATTCTTAGCTTGAAATGAAATCTCCTGATGTCAGAAACACAAAATGGCTTTGGTATTTATGCAGTTCCAGTAAACAGGAAGGTCTAGAATATTTCCAACTTTACCCTTCCACGTGCAGTATGAAATTAAGTGGCGGGATTGAAAAGCTAGGACTCTTGAGATCTGTCCCCCTACCTCTGTCCCTGGTAATGAATGCTGCTCCCTGTCCCTCGCCTTTTTATTTACAATATGTTCGCCGCAAACTGGGGAGGCTGCAGACACAGGGGAAGCGTGAGAAGAAAATGTGTTGAAATTAATAGTGTGGCTTGTAAGGTCTGCTTGAAAAGGGCTGAGCAAAAACATCTCCCAACTTACATCCTTTATTACCAAATAAGAAGTCTTTGTTTTGAAAAGAATAGGAGGATCTGGATGAGGGGCATTATTTTGAATATATGATAATTAAACTGGATGAAAGCGTATTCAAAAAAATCAGTACCACAGAGCTGTCCCTGGCAGTTTCCTGTCATTATCTTATTAATACTGGAGATGAATCAAGCTGGTGAATCCCCCAGAAAGTGAACCTTTTTTTTATTTTTCCGGTGAGATAGGGAATATTCCTTGTCTTTGGCCCAATGATTTTAAGCAAGTGTTTTTGTGTTCTCGTGGCTAATGTAACAGGTTTACATTCCCCCCCCCCGCAGGTAACAGTCTTCAGAGTTTCAGTTAACACTTCACAACTGCTGAAGCTTTCTGTTTTTTTTCCTCTTTGAATCTCACACCACTTCTGAGAGAGGGTTGAGGAAATGATGTGCTAAAGGTCACGCAGTGGTCCAGGGATTTTTTTTTTTTTTTTTTACATTATTCTAAGATTTAGGGAACAGACCAATCACCTAGCTACACAACTAAATAAAAACTAGCTCAAGTCTGGGGCCCCAGGCCACAGGGGAATCTCATGTGATATATTCAGAACAGGAGTGAAATTTAACTGGGCCATGTAGGCACTAGACTTAATGGATAGAAATAAAAGCTAACATTTTGAGCATTTGCTATTTGTATGAGCTCCCTCGATTATCACAACCACCCTAGGAAGGAGGTTCTGTTATTATTACGTGCTTCAGCTGAGGGAACCTAACGGTGACTTGTCCATTGTCACCCAGTTAATTGTTAGAGGTGAGATATGAACCCAGGCAGGTTGATTCCACAGCCCACCCTCTGCTTCCGTACATTGCCCTCCTGGACATTAGGAGGTGAGATTACTGGCTCTGTCTCATGGGCCCAGGGCCTCTTGCTTCTCCTTCTTCCTACAGCTCCGTCTGTCCTTCTGCCTCTTTGTGCTGCCCAGCATAGCTTCCTGGGTCCCCTGACACTAGACCTGGCATGAGACTTTTTGCTTGTTGTGGTGCTCACTGCAGCCAGAGTGGGCAAGACTTTTCAGTTTAAGTGGCCACCATCAGGTCTCTGCTTCAGTTCCAAATTCCTGGGAGGGGGAATCTGATTGCTCAGTCTGTCCAGTGGAGTTAGGATCTATCTCTCATCTGAAGAAGGTGTGCATGGTACAAAAATGGTTTCTTATTCTGACCCCTCCTTCAACCACTGAGCTGAGTTTTAAATGAGATAGTGTGGGCAGGACAAACATCCCTCAATGTGTCTCCTCCCTCACAGCAACAAAAGACAGTTTCATGTGTTGGTAAGCTGGTTCTATGAAAAATAACAATGATAAGCAGCCAAATATATAGCGTTGGCCAATTTCAGTGGTGTAAATATTCCCACCATGGTTGATTTCAAGGTTGAGGCCGGGTAGCTTACACAGGAAGTATGTGGTATCTCCAAGGAACTCGAAGTTTAGGCTTACTAGGCCAGTCAGCCACATGGGTTTATAATTACCATGTGGTAATTATACAAGGGAGTAAGATTTCAAGGTAGAGAGGGTGGAAGTCAGATTTGCTATGTGTAATCTAAAATAGCTTGAAATATAGTACAGGCTTTCCCTGGGTTATGAACCAGATAGGTTCTATAGGTTTGTTCTTAAGCTAACTTTGTATGTAAGCTGGAATAAGACATTTACCTACATGGGTCATTATGAAAATTTTGAGATATACAAAAATCAAGGAACATAAAATCTATGCAGATGGAGCCAAACGAAGCCTGCCCAGCAGCACCACTGATAAGCCGAGCAAATTGTAACTTGCACAGATGAATCAGAAAGGACACTGTTCACTGTGTTTCTTGGAAGTGAAATCATGGACCATGACATGGTGTGTCTTAAAACTTTCATAGTGACCACTCATTACCTGTCATAAGCTCCATTTATAAGTGTTTTACATGAGTCTGATGTTTAAGGATTTGTTGTAATACCCTCTGTTCGTAAGAGCAAGTTGTACGTTGTTTGTAACTTGGGGACTGCCTGTATACAGTTCTCACTGTATAATCTAGCAGACACACAGAGATGTTTTCTAAAAACTGCAATTTCCTTTGACTGTGATGTCTCTCCTGTGACACGTAATTAACCCTTTCACTGAATTTCAGATGTCAGACCTAATCTTCTTGAATGGGCTTTGGTTTTGTTTTCTGACACCGAAATGTGTAATTTTTCTTTGCTTCCAGATGGCAGCACCTCCTCCTCATTTGTGGCTGTCTGGAACAGGCTCCTTTCTTCCACCTTTCAAATCCAGAGATGCAAAGTCCATGTGGTAGCCTCCTAGACATAGTTAGTTGAATACACATTATTAGTCTCCACTGGAGTCTTTTATTTATGATTGCAAGGCCATGTCTCAGTTCATGTAATTATGCTAAAAGGCGGACACTCTCATGAGTACCACCTCTGACAGCGTGTCAGGCACCTTAGCAGATCTCAAGGCCCGTCTACTTGGCTCTTTTCCCCGGCACATCTGGGGAAGGAGGCTGGGAGGCCGGGCTTCAGTGCACTAGTCACAGTACTGCCAGCGACCCCCTCCTGATGTGACTGTGTTGCTAACCCTGGGTGGTGCTGGCCACTGGGAGATGGAGGGGGAAGTGCCACCAGGGTAGACCTATCATTCTCCTTAGACCTGGAACTCCAGGTGTCCTACTGATGGAAGGTCAGCGTCTTTACCTATTAAAATAGCACAATTAATTTATTCTTTTAATTTCCCTAGGGATGTAGCAAGAGAAAAATTTTACAAGATTCTTCTTTTAAGTTTTATTGAAAAATGTGCCCTAGTTTGTGAATATGTTGACTTCTGAATCAGAAGACTAACATTTATGAAACAGCTACTCTTGCGTTAGCCCCTGGATCAGGGGGGCTGATTTAATCCCTCTCCTGATGCTGTTAGATAGTTCTTGCCCATTTTGCTCTGAAGAAGCAGAGTTGGAGAGAGCATTTAAGAAACCAACTTGCCTAAGGGCATATTACTTGTCCGTGGTGGAGTTGGGATTTGAAACTAGATCTGATTGCAATATAAGTATATATTTTCAGCTATCCGGGGCGCTCCGTCCTTATCCACCCAACATTTTATGAAAATTTTAAACATACAGAAAATTAAAAGAACACCCATATAGCTACCACCAAGATGGTGCAACTAACATTTTGCTTTATCTTGTATCTTTCTGTACTTCTATCCATTCATCAAATCATCTTTAAAAAAAAAATTCCAGATTAACCTGAGGGTATATACAGTTAGGTTTCACCCAGGAAGTGTGCCATATACCCACATCATCTTTTTTTTTTTTTTTTTTTTTTTCTGTGACAGAGTCTTACTTTGTCACCCTGGGTAGAATGTCCTGGTGTCATAACTCACAGCAACCTCAAACTCCTGGACTTGAGCAGTTCTCTTGTCTCAGCCTCCCGAGTAGCTGGGACTACAGGTGTGCATCACTACACTCAGTTTTTCTCTGTTTAGTAGAGATAGGGTCTCTCTCTTATCCAGGATGGACTTGATCTCCTGAGCTTGAGCAATCCACCCACCTTAGCCTCCCAGAGGGCCGGGATTATAGGTGTGAGCCATCGTACCTGGTCTTCTATCTTATGTTTTTGATATTTTCAAAGAAGGTTCTAGATATCAGTACATTTCACTCCTATACTCTTTCACATGCACAACATTGATTAGGTTTATTTATGGATGTTTTGTTTTTGAGGTAAATTTTACATGCAAGGAAATACAGAAATCTTAAGTATATATTCCCACGTTTTGACAAATGTATATACCTGTATAGCCCAAATCCCTGTATCATCTCTCCAGGAGTAAGTTTCCCTTTGCACCTTTCCAGACACTCCCCTCCCTTCCTTCCCCTACAGCCATGCAACTTTGATTTGATCTATTTTTTTCATTATGGTTTGGTTTTTTAAACCGTGTAGATTCTTTTTCTTTTAGACAACCAAATTTCTAGTTCGCTTTGTCCTGTAGCAAAAGATAAAAATGA